GAGGTTTACAACTGACTCAAACTTTTTATTACTAAAAACGAAGCTACTCTTATAAAAACCCGAATGTACAGGCGGGGACACGGGCGTCACGCGCCCCCGTAAAAGCGGAGGACGGGGGTCTGAGGACAGACAGACACCTTCCGCCTGCTCTTTGGCCAACGGAGGCCGAAGCAACCGGGACACAAAACTCGGGGCCAACGGGTGACGCCCCTGTCCTCCTCTGTCCCCCAAAAGGTCCCCCAGGCACCCCGGGGGACAGAGCGAAAAGACGAGCCACTCGCAACCCGCTGACGCAAGGCTCAGCGGATCTGCCCGCTTAGAGGAGAGGAGAGAGGCGAAAACCAGAGGCCCAGCTACTCGGGAGGGAGGCCGAGGCTGGAGGACCGAGCTCGAGGTCAGGAGGTGGAGGCCGGCCTGAGCAAGAGCGACCACCGGGTCCGTGACAGAGACACCGACCCCGTTACCCCCCGGGGGGGCCGCGGGGCCGAGTCCGGAGGCGCCTGGCGCGGAGGGAGGAAAGCGGAGGCCGGACTCCGCCGAGCGAGGCTCGCGGGCGCGGCGGCCTCCGGGCCTCAGAACTGCTGCAGGATCATCTTGCGTTTGAGGTCGAGGCTGAACTTGTGCAAGCGGAACAGCTCGCTGTCGTAGAAGGCGGAGAGGTTGTGGATGTTGATCTGCCGCGCCTAAAAAGGGGACACGGGGTGACTTGAGCCTCCGGGGACGGGGGGACCGGGGACTTGCGGACGCCACGACAGGCTCCGTGGGAGAGAGGAAAAAAAAAACCAGGTGGAGGCCGGGTGCGGAGGCTCACGCGCCTGTCAAGCCGGCACTCTGGGAGGCCGAGGAGGGAGGATCGCTCGAGGTCGGGAGGTCGAGGCCGGCCTGAGCAAGAGCGAGACCCCCGTCTCCACTAAAAAAAATTTTTAATAGAAAGAAATGAGCTGAACGACTAAAAATATATAGAAAAAAAAATGAGCCGGGCGTGGAGGCGCGTGCCTGGAGTCCCAGCTACTCGGGAGGGAGGCCGAGGCGGGAGGATCGCTGGAGGTCAGGAGGTCGAGGCCGGCCTGAGCAAGAGCGAGACCCCGTCTCTACTGAAAAAAAAAAAAAATAGAAACTAACTGGACAAGTAAAAATTTATAGAAAAAATGAGCCGGGCGTGGTGGCGCATGCCTGGAGTCCCAGCTACTCGGGAGGGAGGCCGAGGCAGGAGGCTCGCTGGAGGCCAGGAGTTGGAGGCTGCTGTGAGCGAGGCTGACGCCACGGCGCTCACTCTAGCCCGGGCGACAGAGCCAGACTCTATCTTAAAAAACTAAAAAAAAAAAAAAGAGGCCAGGCACAGAGGCTCACGCCTGTCATCCCAGCACTCTGGGAGGCCGAGGCGGGAGGATCGCTGGAGGCCAGGAGTTGGAGGCCAGCCTGAGCAAGAGCGAGACCCCGTCTCTACTAAAAACATAAAAAGAAATGAGCTGGAAAACTAAAAATATATAGAAAAAACACGAGCCGGGCGCGGAGGCACACGCCTGTCGTCCCAGCTACTCGGGAGGGAGGCCGAGGCGGGAGGCTCGCTGGAGGAGGCCAGGAGTTCGCAAAGGAGGCCGCCACTTAAGAGACCCCCCTGTGTCCGAAGCCACTGAAAAGCCCCAACCCGGCAGAGCCTGAGCCTCGGCCTCGCGGGGGCGGCCTCACCTTTTCCACCAAGTCCTTCTCGGGGACCTCGATGGTGTCCTGCTGGGCGCCGAAGCGGTTGCGCTGGTATGCCACCTGCTCGGCCACCAGCTGCTTCAGGACGAACAGCAGGAGCTCGTTGTTGTCCCGCCGGAAGGACAGGTAGCGGGAGAAAGTCTGCGGGAAGAAGAGGAGGCGAGGTCAGGACTCGAGGAGGCCGGGGAGGGAGGATCGCTCGAGGTCAGCGTGAGCAAGAAAAACCAAGACCCCGTCTCTACTAAAAATAGAAAGAAATGAGCTGGACAAGCAAAAATATATAGAGAAGAAACGAGCCGGGTGTGGAGGCGCGTGCCTGGGGTCCCAGCTATGAGGGAGGGAGGCCCAGGCGGGAGGATCGCTTGAGGCCAGGAGGTGGAGGCCGCTGTGAGCGAGGCTGAGGCCCCGGCGCTCACTCCTGCCTGGGCGACAGAGCGGGACTCTGTCTCAACAACAAGAAAAAAAAAAAGAACAGAAGTGGAGGCCATGAAAGCAGTTGAGGTCAAGAAGTGCAGGCCAGAAAAGAAGTGGAGGTCAGAAGTGGAGGCCACAAAACAAGTGGAGATCAGAAGTGGAGGCCAGAAAAGAAGTGGAGGCCAGAAGTGGAGCCCAGAAAAGATGTAGAAGCCAGAAAAGAAGTGGAGGTCAGAAGTGGAGGCAAGAAAAGAAGTGGAGGTCAGAAGTGGAGGCCACAAAAGAAGTTGAGGTCAGAAGTAGAGGCCAGAAAAGTAGTTGAGGTCAGAAGTGGAGGCCACAAAAGAAGTGGAAGCAACAAAAGAAGTGGAGGCCAGAAAAGAAGTGGAGGTCAGAAAAGAAGTCGAGGTTAGAAGTACAGGCCACAAAAGCAGTCAAGGTTGGAAGTGGAGGCCACGAAAGAAGGGAAGGTCAGAAGTGGAGGCCACAAAAGAAGTGGAGATCAGAAGTGGAGGCCAGAAAGGAAGTCGAGGCCAGAAGTGGAGGCCACAAAAGAGGTTGAGGCCAGAAGTGGAGGCCACAAAAGAGGTTGAGGCTAGAAGTGGAGGCCACAAAAGCAGTGGAGGTCAGAAGTGGAGGCCACAAAAGCAGTGGAGGTCAGAAGTGGAGGCCAGAAAATAAGTGGAGGTCAGAAGTGGAGGCCACAATAGAAGTCGAGGGCAGAAGCGGAGGCCACGCGGTCCCGCGGCGGGCCGGGGCGGGGCACCTTGCGCATGCCGCGCATCACGCTGAACTTCTGCGTGTCCACGAAGCTCTCGAGCATGACGCGGATGGCGAGGTTCACGTCGTCCTCCACGACGTAGTCGCGCAGGTGGAGGCGGGCGTGGGCCTCCGCCAGGCGGATCATAGACTCGATGTGGCGCACGGTGATCGGGATGCTGCCCGTGGCCTGCGGGGACAAGCACAGCGTCAGGACAGCGGCCGGGGAGCTGCAGGCCGCGGACTGCACTCTGGGAGGCCGAGGAGGGAGGCTCGCTCGAGGTCAGGAGTTGGAGGCCAGCCTGAGCAAGAGCGAGACCCCGTCTCTACTAAAAAATAATAGAAAGAAATGAGCCGGACAACTAAGAATATATATAAAAAAAAAAAACGAGCCGGGCGTGGAGGCGCATGCCTGTCGTCCCAGCTACTCGGGAGGGAGGCCGAGGCGGGAGGATCGCTGGAGGCCAGGAGTTGGAGGCTGCTGTGAGCGAGGCTGACTCAAAAAAAAAACACAGAGACGAGGCAGTAAGGACTGAGAGCAAGAGGCCGCATCTAGCAGGGCTATTTCCTGCCACAAGTGGACGGTCACTCTCAGTTCCTCCGGGACACGGGGTGACGCCCAGGGGACACCTGTCACTCGAGCCAGCCTCCCGCCTCGGCCTCCCTCCCGAGTAGCTGGGACGACAGGCACGCGCCTCCACGCCCGGCTCGTTTTTTTTTTTCTATATATTTTTAGTTGTCCAGCTCATTTCTTTCTATTTTTTTAGAGACGGGGCCTCGCTCTTGCTCAGGCTGGCCTCCGACTCCTGGCCTCGAGCGATCCTCCAGCCTCGGCCTCCCGAGTAGCTGGGACGACAGGCATGCGCCACCACGCCCATTTTTTTGTATATATTTTCAGTCGTCCAGCTCATTTCTTTCTATATTTTTTAGCAAAAACAGGGTCTCGCTCTTGCTCAGGCTGGCCTCCGACTCCTGACCTCCAGCCACTGATCCTCCCTCCTCAGCCTCCAGCCCGAGCACCTATAACTCCAGGCGTGCGCCTCCACGCCCGGCTCATTTCTTTTTTTTCCTATATATTTTTAGTCGTCCAGCTCATTTCTTTCTATTTTTTTTTTTTTTTTGCTAGCGACATACCCTCGCCTTTGCTCAGGCTGGCCTCCACCTCCCTGACCTCGAGCGATCCTCCCTCCTCGGCCTCCCAAAAATTTGGCTGGAGTCACATACAGATGCTCAGCCTCGCATCGTTTTTTTTTGCATTTTTTTTTTTTTTACGACGTCTTCCCTGATCTGGAGGCTCGCGGCGCGACCCACCGAACGCCACCCCTCGTCCCCGAGAACGGCCTCCGTCTCGGGCCCCGGCCTCGCCCCGGGCCTCTCACCATGGACTCCTTCCTGAGGTCGCTGTACATCTTGGCCACCTTGTCCTGGTCCATGTGGTTGAGCCTGGGGTGGACCTTCTCCTTAGCGTAGAGGAGGTACTTCCTCAGGGCCTCCTGGGGTAGAGGCCGGACTCCCCGCGCGCCGGGCAGGGCGGCCTCCGCGGGGGCGACACCGGCCGGGCCCTCCTCGCCCTTGTTGCCGGGGTGGTGTCGCACGTGGCTGCCCACCACGAAGCGCGCCAGCATCTCGTCCTGCGACGGGGGAGGGGGGGACGGCGACACGCCGGTCAGCGACACGGCCTCGGCGACACGGACGCAAAGCTGCACGCGTGTGGCGTGGGGGCGACTCCCTCCGTGTCTGTCTTTTTACAGTCTTTTGAGGCAAGAGTCTCGCTCTGTCGCCCCGGGGCCGGAGTGAGAGCCGTGGCCTCGGCCTCGCTCACGGTGGCCTCCAAGGTCGAGGCTCGAGCGAGCCTCCCGCCTCGGCCTCCCTCCCGGGTAGCAGCTGGGACGACAGGCGTGCGCCGCCACGCCCGGCTGGATTTTTTCTGTTTATTTTTATATTTTCTATATATTTCTTTCTATTTTTTTTAGTAGAGACGGGGGTCTCGCTCTTGCTCAGGCTAGTTTCGAACTCCTGGCCTCGAGCGATCCTCCCGCCTCGGCCTCCCTCCCGGGTAGTAGCTGGGACGACAGGCATGCACCACCACGCCCGGCTCGTTTTTTTCTGTATATTTTTATATTTTCTATATATTTCTTTCTATTTTTTTTAATAGAGATGGGGGGGTCTCGCTCTTGCTCAGGCTAGTTTCGAACTCCTGACCTCGAGCGATCCTCTGGCCTCGGCCTCCCTCCCGAGTAGCTGGGACGACAGAGATGCGCCTCCACGCCCGGTTCTTTTTTTTCTATATGTTTTCATTTTGCCAATAAATTTCTTTCTAATTTTTTAGTAGAGAGGCGAGGTCTCGCTCTTGCTCAGGCTGGCCTCCAACTCCCAACCTCCAGCGATCCTCCCGCCTCGGCCTCCTCCCAGAGTGCCGGGATGACAGGCGTGAGCCTCCGCGCCCGGCGAGAGAATGTCACTCTGTCGATGGACTCAGGACACCAGCCACGTGCCGGGCGGCTGTGCGTGTCCAGGTCACAGTGACCAAAGGGACGGAGACGTCACGAAGCTCCCGTGCGTGAGGGAAGAGGGGACAAAATGCAGTCTGAGATAGTAAGCACGGGCCGGGCGCGGAGGCTCACGCCTGTCGTCCCGGCACTCTGGGAGGCCGAGGCGGGAGGATTGCTCTCGAGGTCAGGAGTCGGAGGCCAGCCTGAGCAAGAGCGAGACCCCGTCTCTACTAAAAATAGAAAGAAATTAATTGGCCAACTAATATATATAGAAAAACGAGCCGGGCGTGGAGGCGCATGCCTGTCGGCCCAGCTACTCGGGGAGGCCGAGGAGGGAGGATCGCTGGAGGCCGGGAGTTGGAGGCCAGCCTGAGCAAGAGCAAGACCCCGTCTCTACTAAAAAAAATAGAAAGAAATTAATTGGCCAAATAAAAATATATAGAGAAAAAACGAGCCGGGCGTGGAGGCGCATGCCTGGAGTCCCAGCTACTCGGGAGGGAGGCCGAGGCGGGAGGCCCGCTGGAGGCCAGGAGGTGGAGGCTGCTGTTCAGTCCGGCCCGGGCGACAGAGCGGGACTCGGCCTCAGAAAACCCAGAGAGCTGGTGGTGGAGAGCGACGCGCACAGGAGACACGCGGGTGACGGGACGAGGACACGACTGTAGCCGAGGCCCCAGGCGCAGCCTCCCCCGGCAGCCTCCGCAGTCGGGGTGGCGAGAACGCTGTGCACAGAGGGTGCTGGGGGACGGCGCATGCGTGGCTTGGGGAGGGGG